TGCCCTCAAAAGTTTTTTGTTTTGTTTCGCTCCTGTTCCATTTACTACGCAAAACAATACTTCCCATTGCTTCTTGTTACACATGACAATAATAAATCAAGTCAAAAGTGAAGTGCAGTTGATGGCTGACACTTGGATAGCTGGTCTTTAAACATAGCACTTGCAAAAGAAATCCCAAAGACACTGGCAATGCTGAGTACTTTCGCCAATGCATGCAAGATTGCTTGGGGAGGCACCATACAAGCTTAGTACATACGCAATGAGACGAGCAAAGAATTGCATGAGAGAACTCACTAGAGCTCATGGAGACAAAGCCTCCACCAAACTTAGAATACTGAATGGCCTGGACAGAATGGATGTTGGCAAGATGCTTCCATTGGTAGGAGAGACTAGGACTCGAGGGCACAGCCTTAGAGTAAAGGGAAGACCTTTTAGAACGGAGATAAAGAGAAACATCTTCAGCCAGAGAGTGGTGAATCTATGGAATTCACTGCCACAGAAGGGAGGCCAGGTCATTAAATACATTTAAGACTGAGATAGATAGGTTCTTGATTATCAAGGGGATCAAGGGTCACGGGGAGAAAGTGGGAGAATGGGGTTGAGAAACTTATCAGCCATGATTGAATGGTGGAGCAGACTCGATGGGCCAAATGGCCTAATTTCTGATCCTATGTCTTATGGTCTTAAATCTCCGGAAGCTGACACAGCCAATTTTTTCGTAAAAGACAGCCCATAACTTTTTCTCCCCTCTTATTCTGGTTCTTAGGTATATATTGTGCTTTCAATTTAAGGTCACAAGTGTGATCCAATGTTTATGCTAAGTTAGTTATCCTACTGTTAAGGATTCTCCAATTGGTTAGAAAGAGGCAAATTTAATTGGTGGTTTAAGTTCTACAACAACTTAGAGCAGAAAAATATTTCAAGTTTGTTTTGATTGTATTTATGTATTAACCCAGGTTCCCCACAAAATCTGCCCACGTGCTCCAAATGCAACAACTCATACTGTATGGTACAGTACTGCTGTAAACCCAATTTAAGCTAGTTAATATGGCACTAATATAATGCCACACCGAAATTTTTGGCATTTAGATAATTTATTAGTTTAATCTTCTAAACAATTTTTGAGACTTCGACATCAGGGTAATAGAACAGAATGCAGAATATGGTGTTACAGCAGCAGAGACATAGCACACACATCAATTTGCTTTTCTGTGACACATAACACAATGTCATGTTTTTGTTATTACCATTCTCAATAAATTTTATAAAAGCAGAACATGCCGGAAATACGTGACTTGTCACTCACCTTTAAGCACTGACTTAACTGTTATTTTATAAAGTAATGAAGCATCTTTCAGATACTGGTCGTTTTCATTTTTACTACCATATCCTTTTAAATAGCTGATGTCACTTATAATGCTGTCTTATTCAGTTTAGGAATTGCTTACAATAAACCAATGTTGCAACTAATTGAACTAAGCTTATTACCACTCTCAAAGTCAAGGCTGGCAAGTAGCAAGTTTACACTCTTCTTCTCTGCCTCTGAAGATACTAGTTCATGAGGATTTTTGGCTGAAAAACATCCCTCCGACGTTGTCCGATGTCTAAGTTTCATACAAAAGCTAAGACTTCATAATTGGAGCCAAGACAACTGGTAACGCAACTAAGACTCATAAGAGCTACCAGAAAGCTGTCAATGCACATCCTAGGTTAAATTCAAACCTCAAACTTTAGGGTTTAAAGCAACATAAGCGACAAAATTAACACCAAATTCATTTGTTAATCGAACTCAGGCTATTAAATCAGTGCCAATGGCATTTTTACTGCTCATTGTCAATTTGCTTACATTACCCTCGAAGAGCTTTCAATACATAGAAATGAAAACAAAATCATTCATTTAATTTTCTAAATAAATTATTTGGATGGTCGAGCTTCATGTTTTATATATGGTTATTAGAATGCTGGGAAGATACTCCAAGTGTCTTTAAGCTGATTAGGAATGTATCAGATTCATAATTCACTTTTAATCTTTATATAAAACCAGCAATCAGTGCATTCACAAGTCATTCCATCAGTATCAAATGTGGGTTTTTTTTTGGTCATTACACTACACTGAGAAATACCTTTTCCCCTTGGTTATTGGAAATGTTGATAACATCCTACAAATGTCTTCATTCTTGAAAGGTAATTTTTTTTAACTCTGACGGGATGTGGACATCACTGGTAAAGATCGACATGCGTTGTCTGCCCCTAAGTGACCTTGAACTTAGTGGCTGACTTGGCCATTTCAGAGGGCAGTGAACAGTAAACCACATTGTTGTGGGTCTGAAGTCACATGTAAGCCGGACCATGTAACAGCAGATTTTCCTCCCTTAACAATATCAGTAAAACAGATGGGTCAACAATCAATGATAGCTTTAGTGGTATTATTACAGAGATTAAGCTTCCAATTCAATTGTCTTTGTAAATCTGTATTCCAAGATTTCTCAAAAAGGGCGCAATGAGGCAAAAATGATGCAGCAGTAAAGAGAATGAGCTAAAGTTCTATCAAAAAACTGGATTTTAAGGAAGGTCTTAAACAGATAGAGGGAGGTAGAGAGACAATATGAAACATTGGGCCTAGTTTATTTTGAACAGGTAGGTGAAGTGAGGAAGATGCATAAAGAATCAGTATTGATAGGGCTGTGTAACTGTGTTTATCGGTGCAATTTCTCACAGAAGGCAACTGGAGTTTGCAGGTAGCTTTGAGACAAGCAGCAAGATTATCTGTAAGGAGCTGTACGCAAATTAACTCAAAGGTTTTCTAAGTACAAATACCCTAGAAATTGCAAATTGAAACAAAATGTAATTTTAATATCAAAATTGAGAAACATAACATCACTTCTTGCAATTCCTTTAATTTGGTTTTTAGAACAGCAGTGCTAAGGATATGTAACTCTAAAAGATAATTCTTTGTTGCATGGAAAATGAAATTGTGCATTTTTGTAGCTACAATTTGAATAATTTCACATCAAAAAAAAACTATCAACTTGGTCATTTATAATCTGGTGATAGCAATGTGTGTGCTAATGTATGTCCGTACGTTCATGTGCATGCATGCACAGTGCATCAGTACACAACAAATTCATTTCCAGCTCGTTAGATTCTGCCCAGATCATTAAATGGTTACGACACCCCTTTCCCATAGCCCTGTAAAGCGTGCCTCTTCAGACAATAAAACAAGTCTCTTTGAAATCAACAACCGTATCTGCCACTATCATACTCTCAGGAATGCATTCCATGGACTAACCGCTCACTGCGTAAATAGGTTATTCCTTATTTTATTACTGGCTGTTATTTGTCCGCCAACAACGATGCCTGCTTCTTTTGCCAATTACCTTTAATTGATGTTGTCTGGTTCTTAATCTTTACAATGCAAACCACTTCTTCCAATCTACTTTGTCTAGACCCTCATGATTTTAAATATGTCTACTAAATCTCTTCATACCCTCCAAGGAGGGCAACCCCAGCTTTTTCAATTGATGTAAATGAAGTTGCTCATCTCCAGAACCATACTCAAATCCTTTCTGCTCCCTTCCTAACAGCTTCAGATTGTTCCTGAAGGTTGGTTCCTGATATGGGACAGAATATTCCAGTTCAGACAAAACTAGCGCTTTACACAGATATATCATAACTTCCTTGACTTTTTTGCTCCATTTCTCTATTTATAAGGCTTGAATCCCTCATGATTTATTAGCTGCACACTCAATCTGCCCTGCCAGCTTCAAATGAATTATGAATACATGCCCCCAGGTTTCTCGGTTTCTTTACCCCTGAATGAACCATACCGATCATTTTATATTGCCGCTCCCCATTCTGCTTACCAAAATGAATCTTTTCATATTTCTTAGAATTCTTAGAATCCCTACAGTGTGGAAACAGGCCTTTTGGCCCAACAAGTCCACACCAATCGTCTGAAGAGCCATCCCATCCAGACCCACCCTGTTCCTGCAATCCTGCACCTCCCATGACTAATCCACCAAACCTACACATCCCTGGACACTATGGGCAATTTTTAGCATGGCCAATCCACCTAACCCATACATCTTTGGACTGTGGGAGGAAACCCACGCATACACGTGAGAATGTACAAACTCCACACAGACAGTCACCTGAGGCCAAAATCAAACATGGGTCCCCAGCGCTGTAACACAGCAGTGCTAGCCACTGAGCCACTGTGCTGCCCACCTTCTCTGCATTAAATTTAATCTGTCATTTATCTACCCATTCAGCGGGCATTTCCATGTCCTTAAGTTCAACACCATATTGATCACAATTCAAAATACTCTCAAGAAATAGAATATAATTTCTTTCTCAAGCTAGTCCCAACTGGGTATGGACATGAAACTATAAGTGAAATACAAAACTAATTCTCAATATGAAATACTCATGCTCACAGCACATATGAGTGCAGCATAGGAAACGAAAAAGACTAAGTGGCACAGGAAATGCTACACATTTCAGTTTGGGGGTTTGTACATATTCTTTTGCTACACCAAAGGCATCCTCACTTTGCATGTAACTATTTTATCATGACTTTGAGGGTTTTACTCTTGCAACAAAATCCAACTCTGAACTCACTCTTAACAATTTAAACTGAAGTTACTGATTTCTTATCTGGATCACAAACATTGATTGCCCTCTTAGTCTCTCTCCCCATGCCAGACAAGGGGCTCTAAAACCAATTAAAATTGCATGAGATTTCCACTTTGACTTTGAATGTCAAACTAAATGCTTGTTGAAGGTCTACAGAGGTTCTAAGTCATACACTTCTAACAGTCAACTTATCGGTTCAAGACTGACTTTTTTCTGTACAGTTTAGAACACATTTGTGTCAGTTCTAAATGATAGAAGTGATGTGTAAAAGTTTACAAATAGAGCTTTGTTAGGAGCTCAATCCTTGTCAAACTATTTGCACTAACAGCAGCAATAAACACAAATGGCCAATACACAGAAGTTACCGATTTCCGTTCTTGCTTGAGTTCCTGGATATAGCGTGACAGCTCAGCAAATATTAGCCCGCTCATGTTCTCAGCAATCACCTCATGCTGGCCTGCATAGTCATTCATTTCATTCAGAATGGCTAGAAATGCTTGACATGATGTGTATCTGTAAAATAATGTATTCAATGATATGCTACTTGCTTTTTCTTAAAGATTCAACTTTAAAATTCTTAAATCAAGAGTCAGATCGTTAAGATAGATCAAATCTAGAAGTAAACAACTTCCAAAATTTATCTTGAACTCCCAAAAACTGGATGTGTTGGTTTTGTAAATTTTCTAAAATACAAACTGCGACTATCATAATAATAAATTCCTCTGACAATACTTTAACAATTGATATTTAAAAGCAATACTTCAAACAGAAACTGGCCTACAACAGATAATGCACTCAGGAAAAAATAGATCAATTTGCAGTGTTGGAGAATTTGCATATTATCCAAATAATACAAGCAATTAATATCAAACAAGAATAAATGTAACATCTACTTAAAATATTCCTGGGATTATTAGTTTTTAATTTGTGGTGTAAAGAAATGCTAAGTGGTCAACCTTTGTTAATTTTCTTGGTTAACATTAAAGATACATCAGCAGTTTTGCACGAGAAAATATATAGGAACCAAGCAATGGTGCAAGAAATAAACAGTTGTTTTATCCCAACACCTTCATGGAATTTTCCCTCCACCTCTAACCATTTATCAACAACTTAATCTTTTACAGGTTATTGTTCTTATATTACTAACACCACTGCTGTATAACAAGATGCGAAGCAGTGCATTAGATTAATCAGATTTGAATTACCCTATTATTTACTCCATCTCCTCCACTCATCAGAAGGTGTCAACATTATATTTGCCAAATTCTGTATTTTAAACTTGTGTGCTATTTCAGAAGACACAACTAGGTCATTAACTTTTCTATCCTGCCAAGGTCCTAATCTTTCATTTAAGACTAAAGGAAATGATTAATGCAGGACACACTTCTTCCAGTCACTTTGGCCTAAAAATTCTGAGTTTACATATAATCACTATTAATATCCAATGGAAGAAATGAGGAAGGGGATAGACAAAAAAATGTTAATATGATGCACCACGGGGGAAATTTCTTTCTTTCTCTTATATATCACTCAGTTCGGGTTCAGGAAAGAAAACCACTTTGTATTAAATGTTTTTCACTGAAATTATTTTTACCTCAACATATGAGCAAACTCAGCAGTATTCTTTCCCCAAAAAGGAACAACTGATGTGCAGCCTTGTCTACTTTCAGTAAAGTCAGTAGTAGGCCTATTTAGATCTTGGTCTCTGTCTACCCCATGGCCTAACCCCAAAATCATTTATTGATGCAAAAGTCAGCTGCTTTGTCTGGATTTGCTGCGGCAACCACAGAAATAAATAATACAAACCAGTTCACCCTCAAAAAAGTTGCCCCAAGTTCCAGTTCTCCTAACATTTCATTTTTGGAAAAACTTAAGTATCAGTTTCTCCTAATCTGAAAGCACAACTGACTTGCATGATCATTTACAATGAAGAAAGATACAGTGCTAAAGAATAACCTAATATTGAATCTTCCTGAGGAAGGGTCACTCGATCTGAAATGTTAACTGATTTCTCTCCACAAATGCTGCCAGACCTGAGCTTTTCCAGCAATTTCTACTTTTGTGTCTAATTCTAAATCTGGTGTTTTTGCTGCAGTTAAGCATTTGTGGATTGTGCTGTTATTTTACTTAATCTAAAAGGACAGTTACCTCTGTTCTTCTTCTTCCCTAGAGTTCTTTTTTGGCTGATACTTCTTCGAAAGATTCCTGAAATGTAATTCAAATAAGGTACATTAATTCAAAGAAGTAATTTTAATTAAACTTTGTATGACATGAGTAGCTGCTTAATTAGTAAATCAATTTGTTCCAAATTGCCTTTCCAACAAGAGGAATGGAGTTGGGGATGGTAGACTGAAAGCACTGGCTTCTGTTTTCCCAATATTTTATTACAGGAAGTTTCTGCTCATGCAGTACAAGTTATTTGGGTGAGCAGACTTTTAAACTGGCAACAAGAAGAGGCAATGGCCTAATCGTATTATTGCTAGACTTTTAATCCAGAAATTCAACGAATGTTCAGGAATCCTGGGTTTGAACCCACCACAGCAGATGGTAGAATTTTAATTCAAAAATATATCAGTAATTAAGCACCGAGAATCCCACTTATGACCACGAAACTATTATCATTTGTCAGAAAAACCCATCTGGCTCACAAATATCCTTCAGGGAAGGAAATCTGCTAGTCTCAGCTAGTCTGGTCTAGGTGTGACTCCAGACCCACAATAATGTGGCTGACTCTTACCTGCCCTCTGAAATGGTGTAAGCAAGCCACTCGGTTGTATCGATCACTACAAAGTCTCAACAAACAAATGAAACTGGATGGACTACTCGGCACCGGAACAGTCAGTCAATAGCAGAAACAGCCCTGTCAACCCTGCAAATTCCTCCTTACTAACTTTTGGGGCTACTGCCAGAATTGAGAGAGCTCACAGATTGGCTAGCAACAGCCTGATATTGTCAAGTATCATTATGTGAATGACATACAATGTCTCAGAAACAACCATCACCATTCTGGAATAACAAGGTGTAGAGCTGGATGAACACAGCAGGCCAAGTAGCATCAGAGGAGCAGGAAAGCTGACGTTTCGGTTCTAGACCCTTCTTCAGAAATGGGGGAGGGGAAGGGAGTTCTGAAATAAATAGGGAGAGACGGGGAGGCGGAAAGAAGATGGATAGAGGAGAAGATAGGTGGAGAGGAGACAGACAGGTCAAAGAGGTGGGGATGGAGCCAGGAAAGGTGAGTGTAGGTGGGGAGGTAGGGAGGGGATAGGTCAGTCCAGGGAGGACGGACAGGTCAAGGGGGCGGGATGAGGCTAGTAGGTAGGAGATGGGGATGGGGCTTGAGGTGGGAGGAGGGGATAGGTGGGAGGAAGGACAGGTTAGGGAGGTGGGGACAAGCTGGGCTGGTTTTGGGATGCAGTAGTGGGAGGGCAGATTTTGAAGCTTGTGAAGTCCACATTGATACCATTGGGCTGCAGGGTTCCCAAGCAGAATATGAGGTGCTGTTCCTGCAACCTTCGGGTGGCATCGTTATGGCACTGCAGGAGGCCCAGGATGGACATGTTGTCTGAGGAATGGGAGGGGGGAGTTGAAATGGTTCGCGACTGGGAGGTGCAGTTGTTTAGTGCGAACCGAGCGTAGGTGTTCCGCAAAGCGGTCCCTAAGCCTCTGCTTGGTTTCCCTGATGTAGAGGAGGCCACAACATTCCCGTTCCCATTCCCGTTTCCCCTCCCCCTACCGCATCCCAAAACCAGCCCAGCTTGTCCCCGCCTCCCTAACCTGTCCTTCCTCCCACCTATCCCCTCCTCCCATCTCAAGCCCCACCCCCATCTCCTACCTACTAGCCTCTTCCCGCCCCCTTGACCTGTCTGTCCTCCCTGGACTGACCTATCCCCTCCCTAACTCCCCACCTACACTCACCTTTACTGGCTCCATCCCTGCCTCTTTGACCTGTCTGTCTCCTCTCCACCTATCTTCTCCTCTATCCATCTTCTATCCACCTCCCCCTCTCTCCCTATTTATTTCACAATCCCCATCCCCTCCCCCATTTCTGAAGAAGGGTCCAGACCCAAAACGTCAGCTTTCCTGCTCCTCTGATGCTGCTTGGCCTGCTGTGTTCATCGAGCTCTACACCTTGTTATCTCAGATTCTCCAGCATCTGCAGTTCCCACTATCTCATCACCATTCTGGAAATGTACTGTTCTGTTGGCAAGTCAGACCCAACAGAGACATACCCAGAAATGGTATACACAGTGATAGAGCAGCTCACAATGTGACCTCCTCTACAGTGGGGGAACAAAACATAGACTGGGGGACCGCTTCGCAGGACATCTGGTGTTCTGCCTACAAAAATGACCCTGAGCTTCCAGTTGCCTGCCACTTTAACACACCACCCTGTTCCCTGGCTAACATGTCTATCTCAGGCTTGCTGCAGTGTTCCAGCGAAGCTCCGCACAAGCTGGAAGAACAACACCTCATGTTCTGCTTGGGGACCCTTCAGCCCTCTGGACTCAAATCGAGTTCAGTAATTTTAAAGCCTAACTCTCCAATGTCCTAGCCCCCTAACCCACACACCAGGTCTTGTTATCACAGTCTGCCATTACACACTACCTATTATTAGTCACAAACAGTGTCCATTTACCCTTGTAGCCAGATCGTTATCTACTCCTTTGTCTAGCCAACCGCTCTTCTCTCTCTTTGAGCTCTAACTATTATCCTATCGTTTACTCCCGATCCCATCCCCCTCCCTATCTTCTGCAATATAAACCGACATTTTCCTAGCTACCATCAGTTCTGAGGCAGGGTCACCAGACCCAAAACATTCACTCTGATTTTTTTTCTTCACAGATGCTGCCAGACCTGCTGAGCTTTTCCAACAACTTCTGTTTTTGTTCCTGATTTACAGCATCCACAGTTCTCTCAGTTTTTACACAGTGGTATACAGTTGGGAAGGAGTTGTTCTCAGAGTCCTCAACATTGACTCTGGACCGAGTGAAGTCACATGGCTTCAGGTTAAACATGGGCAAGGAAGCTTCCTGCTGATTACCACATGCCGTCCTCCCTCACCTGACGAATCAGTACTCCTCCACATTGAATAACACTCTGAAGAAGCAATGAGGGTGGCAGGGGTACAAAATGTACTCTGAGTGGGGGGTTTCACGTCCACCATCAAGACTGGCTCAGCAGCAGCACTACTGACTGAGCTGGTCAGGTCCTAAAAGACACAGCTGCTAGACTGGATCTGCTCATCCTCACCAATCTGCTGGCTGCAGATGGATATGTCCATAACAATAGATTAAGAGCGACCAACACGCAATCCTTGTCGCGGTGAAGTCCTGCCTTCACATTGCGAATACCTTCCATCATGATGTGTGGCACTATCGTTGTGCTTAATGGAACAGATTTAGAACAGATTTAGCAGTTCAAGACTGGGCATCCATGAGGTGCTGTGAGCCATCAACATCAGTAGAATTGTACTCCAGCACAATCTGCAACCTCGTGGTCCAGCATGTCCCCCACTCAACCATTACCATAATGCCAGGGGAATAACTCTGATTCAACGGAGAGTGCAGGAGAGCATGCCCCCCAGAAGCAGCACCAGGCATACTTGAAAATGAAGTGTCAACCTGTTGAAGCTATCAAACAGGACTACTTGCATGCCAAACTGCTATAAGTGACTAGTGACAGCGAGAGCGAAGTGATCTCACAACCAACAGATTAGATCTAAACTCTGCAGTCCTGCCACATCCAATTGTGAATGGTGGAGAACAATTAAACAACACACTTGAGGAGGAGGCTCCACAAATATCGTCATCCTCAATGACAGAAGTGCCCAACGGAAGTGCAAAAGATAAGCCTGAAGCATTTGCAGCAATATTCAGTTAGTAAGTGCCAAGTGGATGATCCATCTTGGCCCCTCTAGTGGTCCCCAGCATACAGACAACAGTCTTCAGCCATTCCATTCACTCCATGTGATATCAAGAAACAGCTGGAAGCATTGGACACTGGAAAGCACTTCCCACTCCCCTAGCCAAGCTCTTCCATTAAAGCTACAACACTGGCATCTACCTGACAGCGTGGAAAATTGCCAGGCTATGTCCTGTGCACAAGACACACGACAAATCCAGTCCAGCCAATTACTGCCCCATTAGCCTACACTCAATCACTGGTGAAGTGATGGGAGGTGCTGTCAAAAATGCTATCAAACAGTACCAGCTCAGCAAACCTGCTCAGTCACGCAGTTTGGGTTCTACCAGGGCCAATCAGCTCCTTACCTCATTATGGCGTTGATTCAAAAATGAATGAAACAGTTGAAATCCAGAGGTGAGGTGAGAGCGACAGTCCTTGACATCAAGGCCACATTCAACTGAGAGTGGCATCAAGGGGTTCTAATAGAACTGGAATCAATAGCTTTCGGGGGCCATCTCTTTGTTGGTTCCTGTCATAGTTGGCACATTGAAGAGGGCTGAGGTTGCCAGAAGTCAGTCATCTCAGATCAAGGATATCTCCACAAGAGTTTCTCAGGGTCGTATCCTATGCTCACCATCTTCAGCTGCTTAAATCTCCTTCCCTCCATTATAAGCTCAGAATTGCAGATGTTCACCAATGACTGCACGACATTCAGCACCAGTCATGACTCCTGCAGACCATGCTCAAATGTAACATGATCTGGACAATATCTAGGCTTGGGCTGACAAGTCACAAGTGACATTTGTCACGCAGATGCCAGGTTATGGCCATCACCAGTTGCAGACAATATAATCACCACCCTTTGACATTCAATGGTGTTACGATAATGGAATCCCCCACTAGCAACATCCTGAGTGCTACCACTGCCCAGAAACTCAAATGGGCTCGCCACTTGAACACAGTGGCAGGTCAGAGGCTAGGAATGACAAGTAACTCACTTCCTGATACCATAAAACCAGTCCACCATCCACAAGGAACAAGTCAGGTGTGTGATGGAATACTCCCCATTTGCCTGGATTGGTGCAGTTCGAACATCATTCAAGAAACTTGACACCATCCAGGACAAAACAGCCACTTGATCGGCACATCAATCACATGCAAGCATTCCTTCCATCACCAATGCTCAGTTGCAGCAGTGTGTATATCTACAAGATGCACCATGGAAATTTACCAAAGATTCTCAGACAGCACCTTCCAAACCCACGGCCACTTCTATCTAGAAAGACAAAGGCATCAGATAC